GGTGCCTTGATACATCACTCTGGGAACAGCCTATTCGTTCAGAAATTTCTTTCTGTGTCTTACCCCCTTGCTTGGAGGTGTCAATGATGGCCTTCTGGACAGCAGTCGGGTCGGCAGTCTTATCCATGATTGCGGTTTTGAGTAATGAACCAGGCTGGGAGTTTTTAAAAGCCTCAGGAATCTTTTGCAGGTGTTTAGAGTTACTTTGTTGATTCAGATGATGAGGTTAATTGCTCGTTCAGAGAACCTTTTCATGATATGCTAATTTTTTGAGACGGGGATTTTGGGTTTTCATGAGCTGTATACCAAAATCATCAGTATTAAAACAATAAAAGACCAGAAATATTTCAGTTGGTGTGCAATGAATCTAAAATATATGACAGTTTAATTTTTATCATTACATTATGGAAAATAATGAACTTTATCACAATATGCTATTTTTTTGAGAAGGACCTGTATTTTAATCTGAAGTATTAAAATGTTTTTTGGGTTTTTTTAATGGCATTTGTTCCTCCAAGGTGGTGGTCGTTCAGGCCATCAGTGCCCTGTGTCAGAAGTATCCCAGGAAGCACAGCGTCATGATGAACTTCTTGTCCAACATGCTGAGAGACGACGTAAGTTTCTACAGCTTTGACATTTGGGTTTATGATTCTGATTATTGTAGCAGTGTGGGCCTCTTCTCACACGTATTGATCGCTACTGTCGCTGCAGGGCGGCTTCGAGTACAAGCGAGCTATCGTGGACTGCATCATCAGCATCATCGAGGAGAACCCCGAGAGCAAAGAGACAGGCTTGGCCCATCTGTGTGAGTTCATCGAGGACTGCGAGCACACAGTGCTGGCCACCAAGATCCTGCACCTGCTGGGCAAAGAGGGGCCGCGGACCCCGCAGCCCTCCAAGTACATCCGCTTCATCTTCAACCGGGTGGTGCTGGAGAGCGAGGCGGTTCGTGCAGGTGAGACGGCGTAAAGATCGGCGGCCTAGTAATCTGGTCTAGTAATCTGATTACCTCCAACTGTCCATTTGTATTTGTCTGCCTTCAGCTGCTGTGAGCGCTTTAGCTAAATTCGGAGCTCAGAATGATGATCTGCTGCCGAGCGTCCTGGTTCTCATGCAGAGGTGAGGCCTTGTTTTTTTTTTTCTTTCCTTTCACACAAGTGCATATTTGTTGGAAACTCAAAGACTCTATTGAACTGTGAATGAACTTTGTTTAATGAAGCCTCAAAAATGGATGAAATCAGCAATTATAAAACCAGTTTGCTTAATTTACGTTTTCCTTATTTCATAGACTAATGGAGGTTTTTTGTTTTAGAAAAGACAGCTCATGCTGATTTATTTGCTAATCAGCATGAGAAAACAGACTGCAAATATGTCCAGTCATGTCGAATGCCTTGTAATAATATGATCTGTTCTCACAGGTGTATGATGGACAGCGATGACGAGGTCAGAGACAGAGCTACTTTCTACATGAACGTGCTGCAGCAGAAGCAGAAAGCTCTGAATGCTGCGTATATATTTAATGGTAAATGTCGCCATTTATGAGGCGTACAAGATAAACTCTACTGGAAATCGGAACGTCAGGTGTTGACGTGTCCTCCTTGTGTCTCAGGTCTGTCCGTGTCCATTCCCGGCCTGGAGAAGTCCCTCCACCAGTACACCCTGGAGCCCTCGGAGAAGCCTTTCGACATGAAGTCTGTACCTCTGGCCACCACTCCAATCACGGAGCAGAAATTGGGTACGACCACATTGTTTTCTTCAGATTAAATTACAGAATATTGCTGTGCACAAAATAAATGGAGTTTGTCTGGTTTCTTCTAGAAATTGCTCCTGTTGCTACAAGCAAACTGCCAGAGAAGTTGGCCCCATCACGGCAAGACATCTACCAAGGTAAGTAAGACAGATGGAGCTGCTTCAGTTATTGCTTTTTATTGGATAATTGATCAAAACGTCCACCTTAGCGTTCACTTATTACATTTTTTTTTCTTCCCCTTCTCGCAGAACAACTTGCCTCCATCCCAGAATTCCAGGCTCTCGGCCCGTTATTCAAGTCGTCAGAGCCGGTACAGCTGACCGAGGCCGAGACGGAATACGTTGTTCGCTGCATCAAGCACACATTCGCCCGACACATGGTGTTCCAGTTCGACTGCACCAACACGCTGAACGACCAGCTGCTCCAAAAGGTTCGTTAAAAAATGGTCGGTAGTCCTGCTCCCTGCCAGAGACCGGAACGTTTTTTTTTTTTTTTCCCCAACGTCTGGTTCATTGGTGGATGGAATCTTATTGAGACCAAGTTATTATGCGACGAGGCTGAACTGTCGTCTGTTGCAGGTGGTAGTACAGATGGAGCCATCGGAAGCCTACGAGGTAGCGCACTACATCCCAGCCCCCAGCCTCCACTACAGCCAGCCGGGCTCCTCCTACACTTTGGTGCGGCTGCCTGACGACGACCCCACTGCAGGTAGGACCGTTTACTGGGACCGCTCGTGGTTTCCTTCACAGCCTGGAAAAGTCTAGAATTTATATCAAATCACAGTATCCATCGTAAGGGAACTGTTTGGGTGCAGTAGTTGATACTTCACGTAACAAATTTCTCAAACTTCTAAAATGTGTGGAAAAACCTGGGTTTATTGGTGCAAATCATAAGGTTTACTCATGTACGTGTCAGTGTCTGAATCCTGCAGTGTAGAGGCACTCTGGTCTATCTAAATGCTTCAATCTCAGTTTATTCTCACATTGTTTTTACTAGATGAAGTACATTATAGCAGTAGAGATCATGATGCATCCCCTCCTCCAACCTGGCACCCACCCACTGTAGCATTTTGTTGTCCCTCATTGATGTCTAATAGAGCAACTTTGTCAATTTTTTTTTTGCAATTATCTAGTTCAAAGCACAGCATCCAGTTACAGATGGTGCCATATCAACATTCATATTCCTTTCCTTTAATTTAGCAGCCTCGCTACCATCTTTATGGCCTAGTTTGTACAACTTCAACAACTATATCAATTTGAATCAGCAAAACCTAAGAATGTGTTAGGAACCCAGGATTTTAATGGTTTAGAGTTCAACCGCAAGTTTCCGTCTGCTTGCAGTGTCCTGCACATTCAGCTGCACAATGAAGTACCTGGTGAGGGACTGCGACCCCAACACAGGAGAGCCTGATGACGACGGCTATGACGATGAATATGTGGTATGTGGAGCTGAAGTTGGAGCTGGTAAAACGGCTTCATCTGCCTGAACCCGAGGTTTGAATTGAAATTCTCATTTGTTTAGCTGGAGGACCTGGAGGTGACAGTCGCAGATCACATACAGAAAGTCCTGAAACCAAACTTTGGCGCAGCATGGGAGGAAGTGGGAGATGACAATGAGAAGGAGGAGACGTTTGCCCTGGCGTCTGTGCGAACACTAGATGGTACGCAGTTTGATAATTTTAGGAAAGCTGACGCTTGTGCACACGGAGGTGTGCTTTAATCACACATTAAGTGATGCCTGGTGGTTTTGTGTCATTCACAGAGGCGGTGGGTAACATCATCAGCTTCCTGGGAATGCAGCCCTGCGAACGCTCCGACAAAGTTCCTGAAAACAAGAACTCTCATGTTCTCTTTCTCGCTGGTGAGTCAGATTCCTGGATGAAAGTTGATTAGAGAACAATTTGCTGAAATGAAGACACCAGAATACATCGCATATCATCTTTCAGACTCGGCACAATTTCACGTTGTCCCGTTTCTTCTGGTGACCTCATTTTTCCCGCCTTCTCTGCCCAGGTGTGTTCCGAGGAGGCCACGACGTCCTGGTTCGGGCCCGTCTGGCGCTGGCTGATGGGGTCACCATGCAAGTGACGGTTCGTAGCACAGAGGAGACCGTCGTTGATGTGATCCTTGCTTCTGTAGGTTAGAACTACAAATATGTGCCAACCAATGACACAAAGCATGCAGCAGCCCTTATCCATTGCTTCCTCAGTCCTGAAGCTTAACTCATTGTTGTGATTACTGGTATAAATGTTTTATATCTTCTACATACACTTTTCTGTTTTTCCATCTTTTTGTTTCAACTTCACAATAAAGTTGGTCAAAATGCAACTTCAAGTTTTTCTTTTTTTTTTTAAGAAAATTTATTTTACTTAAAGAAAAATTTATATTTTTGAAGAATGTAGAAAAGTATATCAAAAGTATTTGACAATGCAAGAATAGTGTCCAACAGGGTAACACTTTATTTGAAGGAGGGTGAATAAGACTGTCATGAACATTTATGACTGTCATAAGGCGTCATTCGGTAAATCACGACACTTTTAATACAAAGTTGACATAATTCAAAATGTCTGTTATGACAACTTGACATTAACCAACAAATCATTACTGATATAAATTTGTTATAAAAGTATTACTGATGCACTTTAAAAATTAGGTAACTTTGTTATTAAAGGTAAAGTTTAATCAGTAATGATTTGTTGGTTAATGTCAAGTTGTCATAACAAAGACATTTTGAATAATGTCAACTTTGTATTAAAAGTGTCATAATTTACCGAATGACGCTTCATGACAACAGTCAAATATTCATGAAGGCTTATTCAACCCCCTTCAAATAAAGTGTTACCGTTCAACAGATATGCTCTCTATGACAGTAATTTATCGCATAGGGTTTAAAAATAATGATTTGCTTTCCTCAGAGTCAACCTTCTCAATTGGTAGTTAGAAATAATTTTAAAGTTATTTTTTCATCTGATTTTCATACCTGACAGCAGGCATGTGTTTGCGATCTGGTTAGAAAGAGTGAATGAAATTGAAGTAAGCCTTTAGGAAACCGGTGGGATCCTCCAGCTGTGGGTAGTGACTGATGTGGTCGTCCAGAATGGTGACTGTTGACCTTTTCACCAAATGCCTGAGAATAAAACACAGTTAAAGTGCAATTTAATTTAACTGCATAAAATATTCTAACAAATTACTTGTTACCACCTGAGAATGTTTTTCTTAAACATCTCTCTTGCAAAGCAATGTATATGGAGGTAAAGGCATGATCACTCACATATAAAGACGGATGAACTGTGGATGGGGGTTTACAGGGTCCAGGGGTCCGTAGATCAAGTGCACTGAAACACAACGGGGGAGGGGAGGGTCATTGTGGAGATGAACGAGGGTCTTAAAAATCACGTGCTTTTTAACAAAGGGTTTGCTCCACCCTAGCGCCACTTACGTGGAGCGTGCGTGGATGTGAGTGCTCCCACCCATCGATCTCTATGTTGAAATCTCTGATTGATGTACTGGAGAATACTGAGAAGAGAGAAGCCCAACATTCAGTCAACTGAATGTCGGTGAACCGGAAGTAATGAGCACATAAGCGCATCTTCACCTGTCCAAAACCAGGTTTCCGTCATTGTGGCGTAAACTTGTCCACATGTCCCAGAACTCTGCGTCTGTGGGCTGAGTGTAGGGACCAAATACTTCTCCAACGCTACCAATCAAGGAGAAAATGTGAAGAAAGTCTCTTTTTTTTTTGCCATATTTTAAAACACTCTGGTCCTCTTACCCCTTCTGGAAGATCAAAAAGTTGATGAGGCGTGTCAGAAATGTTGCCAGAATACTTGAGTCCTTCAACAGCTTATGGGAACAAATTAAATACAGGTCAGCAAAAAATGAAAAATGTCCATCCCTTTTCTTTTCCCTATTAATAATTTGAAACAATAGAATGTTATACTTGACATGACCTGAGAAGTAGGAAGAAGACAGATTCACTCACCGTCTGAAGCAACCGTGGGTGGTGTGTTTCTGGAAATAATCCTGATGGAAATCAAACTGTCAGAACTATCCGTGTTTTTTTTTTTACATAAAAAAAATCAGGTAAGTTCAAAAGCACATTTCAATCAAACTTTTTTGTCCATTTTGAGTGTCATACTACATTAAGAGTAATTTTTGCAAATTTTTTATGTCATACTATACTATGAGATATTTTTGTTCATTTTCTACATCATAC